TGGCTCAGACTGAGAAAACCTGGGGAGTAGAGAGAATATTGGGCCCAGGGAGAGGCTGGGCAGTGGGCACAGGTCAGAGAGTCAGACTGGGGCTCGAGTGGGGCACAGGCCTGGGGGTAAGGACGGCAGTGTGGACGCGGGGCTGGCGCCAGGTTGGAGGGCCCCTACTGGAGCTGGGTTGGGCTCTGGGCTAGGACAGGGGTCTGCATGGAGGTGCGGGGAGGATTCCAGGGCTGGGGCTCACCCTTGTCCTCGATGGGGTTGTGGGACAGAGTGAGGGCATGCAGCACACAGCTCCCGTTCTCCCCAAACACCCCGGCCAGCTTCTGGACAAAGTCCCTTCAGGGAAGGGGGAGGAAGGATTTGTTTGTCCCATCGCCTGGGCTCCCCCTCCTCCTCCACCTGCCTGCTGGGCTGGGACTGTGGTGGCTAGGGGGCCCCAGGTGGGGTGCAGCTCGTGGCCTGCCAGGGAGCTTGTCACCACTCAGGAGCACCAGTGTGGGAGTGCTGAGACAGAGCCCAGTTTCGGGTCCTCAAGACTGGAGCAGCCCACCCTGCTTGGTAGTTGATGGAGGGAGGGTTGGGGCATGGGGCCAGGGCTTGGGAGAGTGAGGGCTGAGTCCCAACTTCCCCTGTGTGGTTTTGGGCCCTCCGGGGCCCTAGTCTCCTCTTCTGGAAAGTGAGCTGCTGGATGAGATAGTTCAGAGGCCCATACCACACTCTGAGGCTCTGGGACACTAAGACTACATCGGGGGGGGGGCCCACTGCCCAAGGAGGAGGTTGGCCTCACGTCTTAAGCCCAGCGTTGTCCAGCACCAGCTCTTCAAGGCTCCCCGACTTGCTCAGGGTATGTAGCACCTGTTCTAGCACTTCTGAGCCCTGCGGACAGAGGGGGGGGTCTTGCGATCAGAAGTCAGACGGGTACTACTCTCCCCTCTCCCCACCCCTCTGAGTCCCTACCAGCCGCAGGTCCTTGCAGTAGAGTTTGGTGAACCACTGGTTGTAGGCCAGGGCTGCCACCATTAGGGCCAGGTCTCTGTGGGGAGATTGAAGGGGGCAGGAAAGTGGTGAGCAGGTGGCTGGGGCAGGAAAGAAGAGGGTGGGGTGCTGGGCTGGGGCAAGCCTAGAAGGGTACAAGGCCTGGGGTGGGCTGGGCAGATACAGCAGGGGCTGGGGAGAGGGTGAAGGTTAAGGAAGGGGCTGAGGCTCGACTGGGAGGTTGAGTTTCTATCCCATCTGCTTACCGACTCTCCAAGTGGCTGAAATCCAAAAGATTGAACTCCCGGTTATCCTCAGCGTGATAGATGGTGTCCACATCCTTGGAGAGGTGGGGCTGGCTCACACCTGCTCCCTTCCTCCTCCGCCCCCTCCCTCCGGGTCCCACCTGCCCTCCTGCTGGGTCCCGGCCCAACGCACCCATTGCACCTCCTCACGGCAGTGTAGCCCATTGTAGTCACACAGGGCAGCATAGGTCTCGGAGAAGCCACCTGTGGGGTAGGACATGCACTGGCTGCACAGGTGGTAGGGGACCGTGTGGGGCTTGAGGAAAGGTCAAGGTCATTTTATGTGCTGGTCTCCGGGGGTCCTACTGCACCGTGGACCTCCGCAGTCCAGAAGCTGAGGAGTGGTCAGGACAGCCAGGCCCATACACAGAGGACGAGGGTGGGTTTGACCCCCGCCAGCCTCGAGTCTGCCCCCACTCACCGCAGACACTGTGAGTGGTAGATGTGGAAGTCTCAGAGTTGGGGGATGTGTCTCGGGGCCCTTCTGGGGTGTCTGCATTCCCACGCCGGATTAGACACCTGGAAAAGGAACAAAGCCATCTCAGTGAGGGGTTAGAGCTTCTGGATTCCTGCATTGTAACTTCTGGATCCCTAGGAAAAATCAGGAGTGGGAGTCCAGGAGCCCAGGACCAGGGGAAGGAGAGAGGGAGGGAAGGAGGGAGGGAGGGAAGTCTCCTTGTGTTCTAACCCCTCAAGAGACCCCTCCTCTGCCACTCACCCAGGGCCAGGGCAGACCTTGGAGAGGGCAGAGCTCACATGCCGGGTCACCTGGTCCACGCTCTCTGCCGAGGGCAGCCGCAGGCTCACCATGCCACGCTCAGTCTCCACCAGGATCTGGGGAGAGCAGCCGCAGGGCCTCAGACGCCGCCGCCCTCCTCCAGCAGTGGCCCCAGCCCTGGTGCTCACCTGGTTCTGACTGAGCGTGTTGAAGGCCCGGATCTCTAGGACATTGAAGGAGCTCTCCACCTGGGGGAGGGGCACGCAGGGGGAGGCTCAGCTCTAAGGGGCCGGCTGCCAGGCTCCGGAGGGGGCATGCCAGGTGTTGTCTGGCTCCTCAGCCCAACTCACCTTGGCTGGGACTTTAAGGGGAAAGAGGTGGAGGCGCCAGGAGGTCAGAGCCTTCAGAGAGAGAAAAAGAAGGTGGCCACATGGCAGCTTTTGGGGCCCTAGCACCCCTGCCCTCCTTTAACCCCTTCAGCCTGGGGGCAGTGCTGCTGGCAAGGCTGCCCTGGGCTCTGGAACCCCATCTCTATCTACTCAGTCCTGCCTGCCCTCTCCCCCAGGCTCTCCCTCACCGCTGTGCCCCCAGTCCCCGCCAGCCGGGGTGGCCTTGATACGGCCTATTCCCCCAAGCCCAGGGCCCTCACCAGCACTCGGTCCTCAAACTTCTTGGGCTTCGTCTCCAGCTTCACCCGATGTTGCTGGAGCACAGCCCCTTGACTCAGGCTCCTCCGGATGCTGTCTGCAGGTGGGCGGGGGCCCACTCAGAGCTGTCCTTCTCCTGGCCACCCCCACCTCCCCCGGACTCTCCAGGGACAGGGGCAGATGGGAGCAGAGAGAAACAAAGAAAAGGACAGGGACAGAGCCCTTTCCTTCTTAAGTGGCTTTTCTCTTATTAGGGAGGCAGGAAACACTCTGGCTTCTGAGATCCCCGAGACAGGGGACAGTCGCTGAGTGACACTGTCTGTGGGAGTGTGTCTTACACTTGTGAGGATGTGAAGAATTTCCCCAACCCGTGCACTCCAGCAGCCGTCGACACATACACAGTGAGTCAGTGCGTGGGGGCGTGGGGGTGTCCCTCTGACTATATTCTGGGAGGCCTGGGTGTGAGTCTCTGCCTTTTACTACGCGTGTGCATGCCTTCTGAGGATGCCAGGAGGCCCGTGTGTGGCACCGGTGGGGCTGGATAAGCGTGAGTGAGTATGTTGTGCAGTTGTGAAAGCGGCACAAAGTCAGACAGTTCTGGGGTGTGTGTATGTGTGTGGGGGGTTGAAGTTAGCGTCTAAGTGAGCCCCACACCTATGCACTGGTCAAGCCAGTGTGTGTGTGTACGCGCGTGTTGGGGGTTAGGTGTGTGTAGGTGTGGGAAATCGCCTCTAAGTATCCTTGAGTGTCCTGGTCTCCGTGTGGGCTCGTGGGCTCCCACCTCCCGGGGTCATGGTTGTGGCAGTGCTGCCGGGGTTGGTCCTTGGTTTGGGGTGAGCCTGAGAACCATGGAAACACGAGAGGCCTTGAGGTGTGGTGTGGGGTAGTGAGAAGGGGACAGGCTGGGACAGAGGCTGTGGGAGGCAGGCTGCAGAGACCCTGCTCTTGGTCTGAGCTCCAGTCCAGGCAGGCCCTCTTGCCTCACTCCCTTCTTTGCCCCACTGACCTGGGCGCTGCCTGGGCGCTAGGGGGGCTCTCCGGGGCCAGTTCCGGGGCGGGGCCCGGAGGAGGGAGGGTTGAGGCAGGAGGCGGTCAGGACCAGGGGCAGCTCCCATCGCCAGGCGGGGCGGGCCTGGCCCCGCCCGGCAAGGAAGCGGGGACTCTCCGGAGCGGAGACTGGACATCTCGCCAGGGGTGGGCCAGGATCGCTGAGAGTCAGCCCCAGGGAGCGCAGGGAGACTACACCTGTCACCAGTGAGAGGGACGGGCGGCTCCGGGGCAGGAAGGTCCTAACGGGGTGAGGCGAGGAGGGCAGCGGAGGATGCTTCGGGGACAGCGATGCTCCGAGCCGGGATGCAGGGGCTGCCTCAGAGGCGGGATGCATAGGGGATCGGGATGGTCGGGGCTGAGGACGACCGCGGGGAAGAACGCACTGGGTCTGGGAGGGTCCCGGACGGGGTGTCCCGGAGACCACCGCAGCTTCATACCTTGCAGCTCGCGGGTGAGCTCCGTGCTGGACTTGGCCATGGCGGCCCGTGCTGCTGCTGCTGCTGCAGAGGAGCCGCCGCCGCCGCCGCCGGGAGCCGTGGCACATGCTCGACCCGGCGCTGGCAGGGCCCGGGCGCTGAGCGCTGCAGCAGCCGCCGAGCCCGCTCCTGTCAGGGGCGGCTGCGCGAGCGCTCCTCCCCCCGCCTCGGAGCGCCGGGTCTCCCGCCCCTCCCGGAGAGTTTCCGGAGTGAGCATGCACGCCGCGCCTCCGAGCCGCGTGAGACCCCGCGCTCTGGCGCCCACCCCTCCCGCCGGCTCCCGCGTGCGACGCCCTTTGCGTGTCGCCTGGGGCCCGGGCATCTCTCGGGCAGGGGCCAGCGAGACCGTTTTCTGTGCCACCCACCCTTCGGGCATTGCGAGCAGAACCCATTTCTTTTGTTTGTGGGTTCAGGTACCCCCTTCCCAGGTCATGCTTGCAAGGCCCCTCCCTTTTCCACCTTTTTTGCTCGGTTGTCCAGCTTGTCCTCGCTGACCCACGAGGGAACCGGGACCGCGGGTGATGCTGGGAGAGGGCATGGCTTGATCTGGGGGAGTTCTTCCTTTCCAGACCTCCCAGCCTTGGGGATCCCAGTGGCGTTCCTGGCACCATTCCCACTGGCGTTAGGCCGAGAGTAGCACCTGGGAATTCCCGTGCCAGCTCCTTCCTGCTGGCAGCTCTGCAGACACCTCCATCCCTGAGCTTCAAGCTCAGATCCTGGAGACAGGGAGGCGGCTAGGAGAATCCAGAGATCCAGTTCACTTAGACTTATGCTCTGTGCTTGATACCATACCTTTATAGCCAGCACTGAAAAATGAGCACATTGATTCAGAACAACACAACCATCTGCATTTTATTTGCACCTCATTTACAAGTTGTTAATTTCCAGCAGTGCTGCTTCCACTCCATGTTCCTTCTCTCCCATCTTCTTCAAATTTCCCAGATGCCCCCTACCACCCTCCAAATATTAGTTGGTTCTCTCTGTGCTCTCAGGGGAAGTCTTTATCCAAGGCAAAGCAGCAGTGGGAATCCTCATACAACCACACTTTGACTCTGGGAAAGGCCAGATCTTTTCATAGTAGTTTTGGAGGCAGGGTGGGGGGTGAGTGAGCAGCGCCAGAGGCAGGGGTGGGAGAAGCCAGTGGGTAAATGCCAGAACAGACTCAGGAGTTAGAGCCCACTCTGCCTCTTTCCAGGTCCTAGAGGCGGGATGGGGTCCCTCCACCCACCACCACTGTCTCCCCAGTGATGTAGGTGGCATCTTCAGAGCAGAGGAAAGACACGATGCCTGCACACTCCTCTGGCTTGCCTATCCTGGGGTGGGATACAAGAAGACAATAACCATCAAACAGGCCACACCTTCTAAACTGGTCCACAGGGAATGAAATTTGCTTAATCAAAAAGTATCAGATGAGTTTTCAGGACCACTCACAAGCTTCCTGCTCATCACACAGCATTACCATGAAAATCAGCTATTATAATTTGGCATAAGGGTAAAGAGTATATTCAGCAAAAGCCATCACACATCTTATCTGAACACTTTAGAGACACTTCGTTTTTAGAGAACTCAGGGCACCACTATCCAAGTCAGATTAGACTGGTGAGCAGCTATTTCATACTTGAAAGAATCAGTTTCACTTATGTGCATACTATTCAAGTGTCAGGGAATCTGTGCATTGCTTAAAATGATTCCATTTGTACAGCTTCAATTCACAGACCACCTTTTCAGGAGTCTATTTTTATTCCTTAAAGTCAGGTTCATTTTGTAAGAATGTGCAAGTTCTCAATGTTTGTGTCAGTGATTGCATCAGCGATTGCATAGTTAGGGGATGCTTTAATCTAATTGTCACAGAGTGCTCTAGAGGTGGGTAGAATGGGTAGAAGATCTGGAGGAGGTGGGTTTCTGTCTTAGCAGCACATTGTAATTATTTGCCACCAATCATCTCCCCCCAATCCTCCCCAAAGAAAAGAAGAAAAGAAAAATGTCCTTTCCTATATTATAGGCCCAATATGGAGCCCGAACACCTGTAGTTTCAAAATCACCCCAGCTCATTCCAATGTGCAATCAAGATTGAGAAGCACTCGGCGACACCATCCTTTGGGCTCTGAGATAGCTATTCCCTGACCTAGTAACGAGCTGTGAGTTGTGAGTGAGGCCTGCGGCTTGTGTTATGTTCATGTTCACATCAGCAAGGCTTTGGGAGAACTTGAGAGCATGTGAGATGTTTGGACCAGGAGAGAGTAGGCATTGCTGGCTCGTGCTTGGAGGGGACAAAGTTGGTGAAGCTAAGATGACCGAGTTCCCAGATGCCAGAGCTGAAGAGCGCAGGGAACTCACAGGAGAGTGAACCAGAAGAAGATGCTTAAACAGTTTGGCTATCCTTTGGTGAAAAGGGACATTTCCTTGGGCAAGGGGTGTTTTGGGGTTAATAAAGTTTTTTTTTCCTTTTATTTGGATTGTGGGATCATCACCCTGAGCTCTGTCCCCCAAGGGGAACAGAAAGGCATGGTTTGATCCCAGGTTGCTAGGGATGCCCATAAGTGGAGGCAACAACTGGTGGAGGGGGGAGAGCCAGGGCCTCTCCCAGAGCCCCACTCTCCCGAGACCAGGGTGGCTCTGTCTGGTTTTGGTAGCACTTGCAGGTGTCATTGCAGTGAAGCAGCACTGTATCCTGTGCAGTCTGTGCGCTTGTGGCCGAGGACCTCGCGACCATGTTGTCTGTGGGCTCGAGGGGACCAGACAGACTTTCTCCTTCCCTACCCTCTGCTGTGACAGTCTTACCTTCCTATCCGCATGATTTCTTTTATGCTGTCTTCTCTTGCCTTGTCCGTCCAAAACTGTAGGAAAAAGTGAAGTGTCTTTATGTGAAAGAAGAGGGAGAGGAGGCACACACAGAGGAGAAACTGCCAGCCTCACATACGCAGAAGGAGGAAGAGCCACCTTCTTCCACGTCCCAGTCCTTCCTTAGTTCCCAGACTCTCCCTCTTCTGTTAACTCCTTTCAGGTTCTAGGGAAGCATTTCACTGGGCCTCCCCACTTCTCATCCACTTACAGAGACATAATCAGTGTGAGTACAATCTGAACTCAGACTCCACTGCACACCCAAAGAAGGAGCCTGTGAGGGTGTGGTCTGGACAGGAGGCTGGTGTGGAGGGGGAGTGAGGAAAAGCCAGGGAGAAGGGAGCGGTTGGGAGCTCAGGACTCAGGTGCTGAACTTCCCCACCCAGGCAGATGCCCCTTTGGGGTCCCAAAGGGGTGCAGGACACCCTGGCTCACCACACTGCTGAAGTTAGTCTTAATGAGTCCGGGTGCCAGGCAGTTCACCCGAATGTTCTTTTGGGCCAGCTCATTGGCCAAGTTCTTGGTGAGGCCCAGCAAGGCTGTTTTACTAACATTATACGGGCCCAGGCCCTGGAGAAAGGAGAGAATGGGTTAGTCTCTTCACTTCCAGTTCACCTTTGATCTTCTTCGGTAGACATAACTGCTTGGTAGCTGCTTGGGAAAGGCAGGCTTTCAGTTAGAAAACGTGGGGCTATACTTCCTCTGGGTTAGAGCAATGGAGGCAAGATGTCTGTCTGGTGGGCGGGAAACTGGCATTGTGACTCCAAAAGCCAACAACAGCTTCCTGGGGGGAGTGGAGAAGTGGAGGGGCAGGAAGGAGGAAGGCTGGCCATGGTGGGAAAAGGGGTTCTTACAGGAAACGGGCTGTAGGCTGCTATGGAGGCCACGATCACCAACGAGCCGCCTCTGGAAAGAAGAAGGGAATGGCCCTTTTCCTGGTGGGGGTCACCGCCCCCAGCCCACGGGGGACCCATTGCACCCAGGCTCCCTCTTGCCCCTGTACCCTCGTTTCTCCATTTCCGGCACCACTGCCTTTGCCAGCAGGGCTGTGGCTTTCACGTTAATATCCAGAATCTGAAAGCAAGAGAAGGGGGAACAGCATGAGGAAGAGAGCTGGAGAAGGCAGGCCACGAGGAGTTACGTTCCTGAGGTAGGGCCGGTGGGGCTCTTAGAGATGACTTACCTGGACTTAGGAGGGAAGACCTGAGGCCCCGGGGGGCGTGTTTAGTCAGAGAGTGGCACGCCAGGTTTGGGTGAGAAAGCAGAGACTGGTTCATCTTGTTTCCAAACCAGCTAAGTATGATTTGGCCCCCAATACTCTAAAGGTTTAGGGCTGCCTTGGATTTGAATTGAATTTTCTGTTGTCCTTTTTTTTTTTTTTTTTTCCAACTAGGGAGAGCCTGGGATCGGGTGGGTTTAAGAAACCTGTCCTGGAGTGGGCTGAAAATGAGGAAAACAAGGCCTGACCTTCGGCACCTGGGCCTGTTCTCTGGCTTCTGAGTTCTGAGGCTGGGATACTCTCAGCCCTCCAAGAAGGACTGTCTGAGTGGACAGTCAGCAGAAAGTAGGATCACTACTTTCTGGGGGGAAACTGAGGCTGCGGCTACAATCAAAACCCCACATCCACAATTTAAAACAAATCTGCTGGGATATCTCCTTCCCACCCCCAAGTGTTAGCTTCTTAATTTGAAGAATTTCAACCTTGCAGAGAAGTTGAATATAGAACTACAAGGGCTATCTGGATATCCTCTACCTTTATTTATCAGCTGTTCACATTCTGACTCATTTGCCTTACCCATGTATCTATACAATTTCTTTCTGAACCAGTGAAAATAAGTTGCAGATGTCATAATGCGTTCTCTAGATATTTTAGCATGATTTGCTCAGAATAAGGATATTCTCTTCCACACCACAGTCCATTATCACACCCCAGACATTTAACATTATAAAATGGTCTTACTGAGTATGCTGTCCAGCACAAGATTTCCAAGAGTGTCCCTTACATGTTCTTATTTTAAAAATCCAAAGTTCAAGTAAGGATCAAGAATCACATTTAGATTTGATATAGCGGGTTATTAAAAAACACAATCTGAAAAGAAAAATTACTTTAAAACTGATTTTCCTGAGGTCTCCATGCAGACTGCTTGTGGAAGGTGTCTCTCTGCTTTAAAGAAGATCAGTGAGGAACTGATTCACTGAAGAATATTTTGGCACTTTGGTCTTGATATTGGTGAAATACTGATAAATAAACCATAATTCTTTCCGTATCTTTAAACTTCAGTATTAAGTAATAATCGATGATGTCAGAGTAAAAAGCAAAATCAACGGAGATCATAAAAAATTTAGCATATCCAAGTCATAGGGGAATATTAGCCTTAGTAAACAAAGACACATATTTTAATTAAGATTATAGTTAAAGAATGTGGGTGTATGAAATCATATAGGTGTGCACAAAAATCAAATTCTAGCACTTGAATTTAGATACCTACATCTCAGAGGTTTTTTTTGACATTGTATTAAGAAGAAAAGGGCACAGATATTTCTCAAAGGCTGTATAAAATGACGTTAGTTCATTTCACCAGAATTGGTATTTATTTTGTTTAACTAGCATCTACTGAAATTTTCTAAATGATGAAAAATCATTCTTTTTGGGCAGCTAAAAAGGGACTGGGTGTGCAAGTTTCAGTGTATTAAACTTACATACGAGTGGCCATGTCGCTGCTGGAAATGAACCAAGAAGAAGAGTCTGGATAAGCAGCGGTGGTGGCAGATAACCGGGGAGCAGATAACCGGCAGGGAACAAATGGAAGACTGGAGACAAGCAAAGGGCAGAGGAAGCCACCCCCACTCGCCCTTTATACCAGGCACATTCCAGGTGCATGGCAAATGGCAAGGATTCCCACGTTGCCGTGTGCTTGACAGATGCATTCTACAGGCAGATGAATTGTGCTGTTTTCTGAGGCCACCCCTGCTGCTTTAATCCCCTTACCTTGTCCCACACCGCCTCAGTGGCATCCATTAGGTTTCCAAAGAAAGGGTTGACAGCAGCATTAGAGACCAGGATGTCAATGCCCCCGTGAAGTTTCACGGCCTGGTGAGGAGTAAGGTCAGAATGAGAACTGCAGGTCAGTGCGGGACATGCATTTGTCCATGTTGATAAAGAATTCCTTCTTAAGAACAGTTGTCAAAACAACATTTCTTTTCCCTGAAACAGTTTCTCTCCAGAGTTACCCCAAGCTCTGCTGTCAGACATTTAAGACTGTCTAATTTATTTTGCAGTCTTGTTTTTTTACTCCCACTTCTTTGAAGGTTGTCTCTGATCCTTTGCTCTTTTCTTTACATCTTCCCTTTGGGGAACTCAGCTCTAACCTCAAAATCTATTTCTAGACCTGTTCTCTTTCACATGGAGACCCAGTCCCATTTCTCCAAGTCCTACTGCCTAGGTCTCCTTTATCCAGATCTCAAACTCAACCTGTCCAGATGTATTTGAAGAAACTGGTTTATTAAAGACTGATTTATTTATGCATACAGAACTGAGGTTCTATTTATGCCAGAGGTGCAGAGGTGGCGAGACAAGTCACCAGAGACAGCGTGGGGAGAACAGTCAGATTGATGAGGGGAATAGCGGATGAGACAGGAGAGGTCTGCTGTGCCATGTGGGTCACCTCCCTGGCTGGGGATCAAACTTGTGGTGCAGTGGCTGCGGCTGGCTTCACAGTCCTGCACTTTCACCTGTTGGGACACCAGGGAAGGCCCAGAAACTGGTTTAAATAGGCCCACAGAAAGTTATCACCGGAGGAGAATCTTTTGAAATCATCTAGTCAGTGTCTTATGAGAAGATGATGTAACTGAGCAGAGGAGTTGATTTCTGAAGGCGGTATAGCTCAGGAATGACAAATTCAGGTGTGAGGTCTGCTCATTTGGTCTTTGGGAGAAGGGAAGTGATTGGCCTAAGCCATAAAGCTGCTTAGTAGAAACAGAACTGAGATGAGTCTCCTGCTTTCTAGCACACTGCTAGTTCACAGGAGTCTCTCCAAAGCGACTTGTTCTCACTGTAAGCTGGCTACCCAGGAGCCACAATGAGAAGACACCAGCCTGGGCTTAAAGCAGGTGCACACTCAGTCATGATGTCATCCCTGCCTTTGTTGGCCCCAAGGCATGGAAGATTCAAGGCAGAAACTGAAGTTTAAACAGATAAAATCAAGAAAGGCAACATCTCGCCTCTTTAATAAATTTTCAGTAGGAGGTGAAGCCATGTGCTGGTGTAATGAGTAGCCAAACAGAACCTGCCAACAATACACCACCCTGAAACCAGACTTTGCATTTGCCCAGATCTGGCAATCTTGATGCCTTGGGCAAGAGCACTAAATGGGCCCTCCATCAACTGTGCTTGGAGACTTGGCGCAGGGAGGGCTGTTATTAACAACTGTACCATCTGCTAGCTCCCGTTTTTAACTAATTATTCGTGCTAACTAGGTGCTAAGCTCAGTTGCTTCTACACTGCTGAAGGAATGCCTGGGCTGTCAACATGTAAATTTAACAAAATTTAAAATCACACACTCCTTTAAAAACAGGATTGATACTCTTGCGCCATCTGATTTTTGGTATCCTGGCAAAGCCAGTCACCTGCTCTGGCTCTGCATAGGTCCTGTCTGTGGATGAGTGACTAGGCCAAGGCAGCATGAGTCAGAAACTGTCACATGCTGGGCTCCTTCCATACCCCGGGTGGGGAGAAGATGGTGCAGTGTAACTGAATCACCACCCTGAGGTCTTTTCACTTCTGCTGAGCATCCCATCTGCCCCTTCTTCTGGGTGTCAGCTTAGAGAGGGAGGGAGAAGGCTGGGCTTTGACTGAACAGAGACAGAAGCACAGAAGGTTAGTGAGAAAGGCACAGTGACAAAGTAGGTGTCGTCTGAGTCTTGCTCTAAATAATGTACTCACTACACTAAGGTGGTTGAGTTGATTGCTCTGTGCTCTGATAGGTTTTTCTAGAAACAGTCAACTCAACTGGAGAAGAAGCTAATCGGGTTTCTGCTCACCACTCTGTGATAAGCTCAGAGGGGCAGATCAGGCCACTGGGTAGTGCCCACCCTAAAGCCAGCCTTTCCTCATTACCGGGTAACAGCTGCAGGCAGAATACATCTCATATTGCTACCTGGGAGTCACTCATCACCCACCTGACATGGGTCACACAGGCTACCTGAGAGTCATTTTTGACTCATCCTTCCTGTGTCCCATTTCTTGACATTAGCTTAGAAAAAGAAATCTTGGTTGGTTCCCACCAAATGTCTCCTGGGGGTATCCAGCCCAGCTCCATGCCACTGTTGTAGACCGAATGAGAGAAGTGACTTCCTCACAGATGTCCTTGGCTTGGGGTCTTCTCTGTTCCAGTACAGTCCTCCTACTGCTGCCAGATCATTTTCCCATAATAACCATTTTTTATTTTTCTCAGCCACTCATTTCACACAGTCTCTTCCTCCCTACAACATCAAACTCCTCTGGGAGGCCATGAAGGCCCGGTCCCCTGTCCCTCCCACCTCATTCGCCTCCCATCAGCCCGAGTCTGCCAAGGAACGCACTACGTCCCCTCTTCTCCTCAGTCCCCTCTTGGCTGTCTGCTCACTTAGCAGGGTCATCTGGAACCCCACCCCAGCCCCACCTGTCCAGGCCACACACTCAAGGTCTAGCTCAAGATCTACTTCTGGCCAAAGCTGCAGGACAGGTTACGAGAGCAAGAAGTCCTTTTCCTGGCAGGGTGCTGACATGAAGTCACTAAGTTGGCCTAGGATCCCGATGCTCCCGTCACCCTCAGCATCAAGGTCCCATGGGGTTTTGAGCTCTGTCTGGCAGCTTATGCCAGGCACAGACTCACATCTTGTTCTCTAATGTCTATTGAGCATTTTCCAAATGGATCCCTAAAAAATGGAGTGACCTCCTACCAGCTCCCAAAACACAGTTTACCATCATGTAATGATTCCCTAAGATTACCCAGATTATGCCTCTAGTCTTCCATTCTGTTAGCGCATTCCCGTATTTTCCGTCCTTGGGTAGATTCTGCCTTCAACTCTCTGGAGTAGCACAAGCCCACCTGGAGGGAAGAGGAGCCTCCTTTGTCAGATGGTCATATTTTCTTGTGTGGCTAGAAGGCTGGTGCCAAGTACAACAGTGACACTGGCTTAGGCACATTCTTTGAGATGAAAGTCCGAGTGGGCACCTAGGGCCAGAGCCAACCCAAGTGGGGAAATGCCTGGTAGTTGGTAGGCAGCTCGACGGGTTTGCTCTGACTCACAGTTCTACTTGGCTGTGTGACCGAGGGAGTTTCTGCCAGATCTCTGAACCGGGCCCCATGAGCAGGGAGAATAATCCTTGCCCTGCCAAGCTTGTTCAGGTTGAGAGATAATGAAATGAATGGCACACAGCAGGGGGCTGGAACATGGTGGGCTGCCACCTGCAGGTGTCCAGGTACTTGTACATAAACGGAAGAGCTAGGATCATTTATTAGCTCGTGGGTGGAGTATCTGGAGTATCTACTTTGCCTTGGTACTCACTCTCCCCATTTGCTCAGCACAACTGGAAACTACTGGTGAACCACGCCCCGCTGTGTTCATCCCTTGGGATGATCCAAGGTTGCTGCACTAGTGGTTTTGCTTCTGAAGGGGCTGGGATGATATTTGGAGATATAACAGAAAGGCACACAGTGAAAGTGTGCGGCAGACTGACGTGGACACATAGACTAAGACACATGTTTTAGTTAAAAGTGCCGCTTTGGTCCCTCCCTGGTGGTGCAACAGGTTAGGACGCAGCACTGCAAGCTAGCTGCAGCCACTTCA